AGGGGCTGGGAGCCAGGACTTCTGGGCCAAGGGCTCTCATGGCAAAAGACCCCAGCTGAGATCTAGCCCCATTGTCTCTGTCTTTAGCAGTCAGTCAGGATTCCCTCCCACTCAGCCGTGGCTCCTATGCGTGTCTCGGTGCTCTATGCAGGGTTTTCATGCGCCCCGGAGCCCGAGCGAAGAAATATGAACTCGGATTTGCTTGTTTATGAAAAACGCTGCAGCCCGGGAAGCAGCCATAAATCCAGTGCAGCCTTTCCTCCAGTGCCCTGTGGTTGAACCACTAGAGCTCATTCCTCTTCCAGAGCCTGGGAGTCCTGGCTATCAGCCCTTCACTGCTCTAACCACCAGACCCCACTCCCCTGCCTGAGCTGGGGAGAGAACCCAGGGGGCCTTGTCTCCAGCAGGGTGCAGTAGCTGACCCGTGGCGGGGGAGGCTCACACTCCCTTGAGGACGTGCTGGTTCACACCTCTCACGAGGAAGTAACGATTGCATCTCTCATCCTTTCTGCGTGGATTTCCGAGGAAGGGGACCAGTAAGGTTTCCTGGGGCGAAGACACAGACACAACATAACCAGCTGCTTGGGCTACAGAAAACTCACTCCCCAGCCGTGACGCAGGAGACCAGCCACCAGCTCGTCCCTGACACATCGCCTGGGGTGGCTCCCAGCCCGGACACCTGGGTTCCAGCCCTTCTGCAGGCTCCCAGGGCACTAGCTGCTGGACAGGAGGTGAGGATGGGCTCTCTAGCTGCCTGGGTCAGGGCTTGTAAGGAAGGGAGTGGGGTCTAGTGGTTAAAGCCAGGGGGCAGGACTCCTGGGTTCTATTCCCAGCCCTGACCAGTGTGTATTTCCCTTTGCCAGTCATGCCCAGGTATCTGTGCAGTTTAGTTTTGCTTTTGTGACATTAAAAAGAAACAAACAAGCAACAAAGTAAAAGGGAAGCGGCTGCCTCAACTGGCCACTGGATTCTAGCCCCAGCTCTGGGAGGGGAGTGGGGTCTAGTGGTTGGAGCCGGGGACTGGGGGGGAGCCAGGACTCCTGGGTTCTTTCCCCAGCATGGCCATGTCCTTTCCCTGCTCTGACTCTGTTCTTCAACCTGTAAAATGGGGATGAAGGTTTGTGACCTAATTTGGCAACGCGCTCGCCCACCACCGAGCGATCAGGGCTGAGCGATGTGGGCAGTGAGGGATGGAAATTTGTCTAACTCAGCTGAGTGCGTGCATGGTGAGGACAGGGAGAGGGGAACATTGAGACGGGAGAACACAGCAGTCCACGTATGGGGGGCACCCAGCACTGGGATGCGGAGGTGCCAGTCAGGATATAGGGTGTGGTCATTACATCCCCCACAGAATGGGTCCCCCACTTGGAGGAAAAGACTGGAGGGGACAATCCCTCCTCTCCCAGACAGCGGCTCCATTACCAAGGGCTCGGGGAACCTGACTATGGGTCTGAACTCGTCACAGTTCCATGTCATGCCACCACATCTGAGCAGCCAGCCAGCCCGGGAGAGGAAGTGGGTTTATCTCTGAAAGCAGAGAGCGGAAGGACTGACAAGAACTGTAGGAGGGCACGACAAGGAGAGATGTGCTGGCTAGCACATACACCTATCCCTATTCTGAGAACCCAGGAGTCCTGGCTCCCAGCCTCCTGCTCTGACTAGTAGAACCCACAGCCCTCCCAGAGCTGCGCATGGAACTTAGCTGTCCTGGCTCTCAGACCTCTCCCCCGGCCCCCCGATCCCACTCCCCTCCCAGAGCTGGGGATAGAACCCAGGAGTCCTGGCTCCGAGACACCCGTCCCCCCAGCTCTGACCACTAGACCCCACTCCCCTCCCAGAGCTGGGGATAGAACCCAGGAGTCCTGGCTCCAAGACACCCATCCCCCCAGCTCTGACCACTAACCCCCACCCCCCCCCGAGCTGGGGACAAACACAAGTCCTGCTCCAACACCCCCCCCCCCCAGCTCTGACCACTAGCCCCCACTCCCCTCCCAGAGCTGGGGATAGAACCCAGGAGTCCTGGCTCCCAAGACACCCATCCCCCCAGCTCTGACCACTAGACCCCACTCCCCTCCCAGAGCTGGGGACAGAACACAGGAGTCCTGGCTCCAAGACACCCCCCACTCCAGCTCTAACCACTAGACCCCCACTCCCCTCCCAGACTTGCGGATAGAACCCAGGAGTCCTGGCTCCACAGGATTACCCCAGGGAGTAAAAATAAGCTGGCCAACCTGGGTAGCAGGATCAAGCAGCCCAGTGCCTGGTTTTATGAGCTGGCTGAAATGACAGCCGGGGGGGAGTATTTCCATTCGAGGCGCGGGCTCTGTTTACACGGCCAAGCCTCCAGCCCCAAGGGATTTATCCCCCTCGGGCATCCCTGCGTGAATGACCAGCAATCCTGCCCTGACTCGACTGAGATCCAACTCGGGCAAAGAGCAGGGAGCTGGCAGGTTGGGGGAACCGGCCGATCCGGGATTCAAACCAGTGGCTCGGCCTGATGCCTCTTGCGTAGAGCTGGGGTGAGCGTGTGCAGTACAGGGCTGTGGACACGAGGTGGGAGAAGGGAGCTGCAGAAAGGCAGGGGGATGGATGGATAGATAGCTTAGCACTTAGGACGGAAGAACCCAATGCACCGCTACAGACTAGGGACCGAATGGCTAGGCAGCAGTTCTGCGGAAAAGGACCTAGGGGTGACAGTGGACGAGAAGCTGGATATGAGTCAGCAGTGTGCCCTTGTTGCCAAGAAGGCCAATGGCATTTTGGGATGTATAAGTAGGGGCATAGCGAGCAGATCGAGGGACGTGATCGTTCCCCTCTATTCGACATTGGTGAGGCCTCATCTGGAGTACTGTGTCCAGTTTTGGGCCCCACACTTCAAGAAGGATGTGGATAAATTGGAGAGAGTCCAGCGAAGGGCAACAAAAATGATTAGGGGACTGGAACACATGAGTTATGAGGAGAGGCTGAGGGAACTGGGATTGTTTAGCCTGCAGAAGAGAAGAATGAGGGGGGATTTGATAGCTGCTTTCAACTACCTGAGAGGGGGTTCCAAAGAGGATGGCTCTAGACTGTTCTCAATGGTAGCAGATGACAGAACGAGGAGTAATGGTCTCAAGTTGCAGTGGGGGAGGTTTAGATTGGATATTAGGAAAAACTTTTTCACTAGGAGGGTGGTGAAACACTGGAATGCGTTACCTAGGGAGGTGGTAGAATCTCCTTCCTTAGAGGTTTTTAAGGTCAGGCTTGACAAAGCCCTGGCTGGGATGATTTAACTGGGAATTGGTCCTGCTTTGAGCAGGGGGTTGGACTAGATGACCTTCTGGGGTCCCTTCCAACCCTGATATTCTATGATTCTATGATTCTATAGCTGTTAAGCGCCATGGATGGGAGTTTATGAGGCTGGATAGCTAGATACCGGCTGCGTATGGAGAAAGATGGATATAGAGGGGAATGGGGGGGACAGCTCTGCATCTTTCCATCCACTCCCAAGTGCCCTAGCCATCCAGAACCCAGGAGTCCTGGCTCCCTGGCCCCCCGCCCCTGCTGTAACCCATTAGACCCCACTCTCCTCCCAGAGCTGGGGCTAGAACCCAGGAGTCCTGGCTCCCTGCCCACTAGACCCCTGGCCATTGGTAAGGGATCTAGGAGCAGTGATTACAGATGGCAGAAGGAATGGCCAGGCTCAGGCAATAGTGTGTTTTACAGGAGAGGCTTATTAACTTCTCCTTAATGAGGCTATTTAACGATCGATCCCCACAGCTGGGAGGTGGGGGTAGAGCTACGCGCAGCCTGGGGAAGCCCATCGCAGCTTGGCGTGAGGGCACCCACAGCCTGTCTGGATAAGGGGTGCGTATGGAGGAAGATGGATATAGAGGGGCATGGTGGGGGACAGCTCTGCTATGGGGGGGTTAGGATGTGCCCTAACCATCCAGAACCCAGGAGTTCTGACTCCCAGCTTCCCCCCGACTCTAACCCACTAGACTGCCCTGCAGTTAGTAGGGGAGCGAGGGACTGGTCGGGCTCAGACAATGGTGTATTTTACAGGAGAGGCTTATTAACTTCTCCGTAATGAGGCTGTTTAACGGTCGATTTCCCCACAGCTGGGAGGCGGGGGTAGAGCTACGTGCACCCTGGGGACGGAGGGGCCATCGCACCTTGACGTGAGGGCCCCCACAGCCTGTCTGGAGCATGGGTGCAGGACGCCTTGGCCCTGGAAAGCTGGCAGGCTGCTCTTCAGAGTCACTGGGATGGCTCAGTGGCTGGAGGGGGGAGCCAGGACTCCTGGGTTCTCTCCCTGGTTTTGGGAGGGGAGTGGGGTCTACTGGGTTGAGTGGAGCTGAAAGATCAAGAATCCTGGGTTGTGTTTCCTCATTCTGTGCATTGACTCCTTATCCCTTATTTTAACCACAAAATCACCCCTGAGAACCAGGGACAGAATCCAGGAGTCCTGGCTCCCAGTCCCTCCCCCCACCCCCCGCATCTGAACACTAGACCCCACTCCTCTCCCAGAGCCAGGGAGAGAACCCAGGACTCCTGGCTTCCAGCCCGCCCCGATCACTAGACCCCACATTTGATGATGATATTTATGAAAATTTCCCTCTGAGTAACAGCCACTTCCCTGTCCTCCGAGCTGCCTGCTTGCCCCCACCCCCGCAGCCCATCCCTGTGTGTTTGCTCACGCGATCTCGTGCATCCCCGGCCCTCCAATCTCTCCAGCACTGGGATCTCACAGCACTCTTCCCCCCCCCCCGCCCCGCCTGCCGCTGGCTAAACAGGAAACTGAGCTAAATAAATACTTCAGCCGGCTACATAAATTCCAGCCTTATGTCTAGTGTCAGCTTATGGAACGGGAGCCCCGAGCTTATTCGCATGGATACGGGTAAGGAGGGCTGGGAGCCAGGACTCCTGGGTTCAATCCCCAGGCCTGGCAGGGGAGTGGGATCTAGTGGGTCGGAGCAGGGGGGCTGGGAGCCAGGACTCCTGGGTTCCTTCGGCAACTGATGAGCCCATTCTCCTCTGTAGGAGCTGAGAAGATGAATTTGAGAATTTCCATCCCACTGTTTCTCACTGTCTACATCTTCACCTTCCTGATCGGCCTCCCATCCAACCTCCTGGCCTTCTACACCTTCCTGGTGAAGGTCCGCCAGAAACCCACCCCCGTCGACATCCTTCTCCTCAACCTCACCATCTCCGACATCTTCCTCCTCATCTTCCTCCCCTTCAGGATGGTGGAGGCCATCTCAGATATGACGTGGACCTTGCCCACTTTCCTCTGCCCACTCACCAACTTCGTCTTCTACAGTAGCATCTACATCAGCTCCCTCTTCCTCATGGCCGTCAGCGTTGAGCGCTACTTGGGGGTGGCCTTTCCCATCAAGTACAAACTCCGGCGCCGGCCAGCCTATGCCACCGCCACCTCTGTGGTCTTCTGGGTGGTGGGTTCCGCCCACTGCAGCATCGTCTACATTGTTCAATTCCTAGACCAGAGCCAGAACAGGACTGCATACTTCAACTGCTACTATAATTTCACCACTAGCCAGCTCCAGGTCATCCTCCCTTTCCGGCTGGAGCTCTTCCTGGTCCTCTTCTGCCTCCCCTTCACTGTCACCATCTTCTGCTATGTCAACTTCATCCGCATCCTGGTGGCCTTGCCCAACATCCCGGCTCGGAGGAAGCGGCGGGCCGTGGGCCTGGCCATGGCCACCTTGTTCAACTTCATATTCTGCTTCGCCCCCTACAACCTGTCCCACGTGGTGGGCTTTGTCCAGAAAAAGAGCCCCGAATGGAGGGTGTACGCTCTTCTCCTCAGCACCCTCAACACCGCCTTGGACCCCGTCATCTTCTACTTCTCCTCCACTGCCGTCAAACGGGCCTTCACAGAGTGCCTGGCCAGCCTGTGGCACAAACTCAGTACCTTCGTGGCCCGGTGCCATCTCCCCTGCTTGACTTGCTGCGCGGAAGGAGGCAGAGAGGTGGAGGCGGCCAGTGAGGGACGAGACTGAGGGGTCAACGACTTGACTCCCAGGGTGAGACCGACTCTCTGTTTCCTTCGCAGAGCCTTCCTTGTCCCATGTGCTGCAGGAGCAAGAGATCCTGCACTTGAGCCAGGGACGGCATCTTCTGTCCTTCCCTGCACCTCCCGAGAGGGCCGTCCTTCCTTAGACAGCAGCGTGCGGCGGGGCTTGAAGTTGGTGCCCAACTTCCACAAGGCTTTGGACTACTTGAGCTTCAATGTGGTTGGCCAAACTTGGCTCCAGAGGGCTTTGGCTGACCTGAAGGTGGGGTCGCCATGGTGTCAAGGGCCTTCTTTTGCCACTGCCAGGCCACAACTGAGCGGTTGACCAAGCGCCCACCGGACTTTGGCCTACTTCAGCTTTGGAGTGGGTGGCCCAACTTCCTCAGGGATCCGGCCTCTCTCAGTGTCAGGGGCATTATGGCGTCAAGGGCCTTCCTGTGCAGCTGCTGGCTCACAAGTGAAACATAGACCTATTTCAGCTGGAGGGTCCCCCTGGTGCCCTCCACCCACTCCGGGTCTCCTTCTCCATGGTTGGGCCCACCGGCAAGCCAGCTACTAGGGGCTGTAACTGCCAGGGGGGGTTGCTTGAGGGAGGGCAAACAGGCGGGGCTGAGCTTGTCCCGTTTCAGGGGAGCCATTTAGTGGCAGATGAACAAGGGCCAGGCTCTGTGAGGGGCCCGAGTTTGCCCTTGTGGAGCTATGGAGAGCTCCTCCTCCTTGGCCACTGGTATCCGTGTGTGCTGGCCTCTGTGGAAATGTGGTTACCACCTCGGTGGGACTGGAACGCAGGGGGCTGCAGCCCAGCATGCTACTGCTTGAGCTAAAGGAGCAGTGCCATGTGTTGGCAGCAGTAGTAAGGCCGTTATCTGCCATGTGGATGGGAAGGATTTGGGCTCTGGACCTTCACCGTCAATGCGCAGCCCTCTATGCAAGCAGCGGTGGGAACAGGCTGTTATTGAGCAGGATTTGAACGCAGGAATTTTAGCACCACATTGAAGGGCTCACGTGGTCTAAAGGCCTTTTGCAGCGGTAGTAGACCTGTTATCCTCCAAGTACACTGTTGGCGGGGGATGGGCGATTAGCAGGCACACGGTTCTGTTCCAGGTCCGGACGTAGAGCTGCGGGTCTGTTCCAGGTCTGGACGTAGAGCTGAGATCTCCCTCGCGCAAGGCCCTGCACCTCCTCCCTTTGCTGGTGAATCTGGCGCCCTCCAGGGGCACTGGCTTTAGCTACATATTAAATAAAGTTATTGATTTATTATCCAGTAGTGATTATTTTCTTATTTTTCTTCAGGTCTAGTGGGTTCTAGGCAGGGGGGCTGGGAACCAGGGCTCTATAAGAACATAAGAACGGCCAGGTTGGGTTAGACCAACTAGCCCAGTATCCTGTCTGCCGCCAGTGGCCAGTGCCAGGTGCCCCAGAGGGAATGAGCAGAACAGGGAATCATCCAGTGATCCATCCCCTGTCGTCCATTCCAGCTTCTGGCAGAGGCCAGCAACACCTGGTTCACCAGTTCTGGGATGGGAGTGAGGTCTATGGGTTAGAGTTGGGGGTAGGGGGAGCTGGGGGCCAGGACTCCTGGGTTCTATCCATGGGAAGGGACCAGGGCTAGGAAGTAGAACACAAGCATATTGTCTCTGTCAACTTTTAATTAACTGCAGGGCGTGAATCCAGCACCTCGTGTAAACAAACAGTGTCTCCCTGGCTCTGTTATTAACAGGGTTAATGGATAACTGGGCCCAGCAGGGCCTGGGGCAGCCAGGGGGATCTCAGGTGGGCAGCTGGAGGGACGACCAGGTCCCAGGCCATGGGATGCTGCAACGGAGCTCCTCCCGCCCCCCGGTTCCCCCTGGGACTTCCCCAGAGCAGGAGCCCCCCATACAGCCCCCTGTAAACGGATGTGCAGCCCCCTCTCCTGGGCTCAGTCACCGTGGCTTGTCCAGCTCCTGGGGGGCAGGGTGCTGGGCGCAGGTCGGCTCCTCTCCAAATGGGGCTGAGACCCAGCAAACCTCATTGCACAGCGAACTCTGTTAGCAAATATACAACCCCCTCCCCTCAGCAATGCGCAGATAACAGTGAGGGCCTCTCCCTCATGCCGCATTGTAACACACACACCCCCCCACACACACACAGGGGCGCCCAACCCCTCACGCAGAAGAGCAGCGGGAGGGGAGCTGTGGGGGAAGAGGAGGGAGGTATGTCTGCTCTTACACACGCGCACAGGGCTTGTCCCCTCCAGCAGGGGGCAGGAGGAACACCCCCTTACCCCCAGCCCCCCACACACAGCTGCACAAAATCTCACCACACTAACACACCCACAAGACAGTCACACACCACAACAGCCGTATGAAACAAGAGTGTGTGCGCTTAGTAGGGGGAACTCACTGCTATGACCCCAGGGCAGCACTAGGGGGCGCTGTGCTGTAGGGGGCAGGGTGGGGAGCTCTCCCCTGGCAATCCAGGCTGGCCCCATGGTTAATGGGCTACAATCTGCCTGCGTCTGCAGCTGGGGATTTCTACCCTGCGCTTCTGCCCATAGCCCTGAATCTCCAGGGCCATCTGGCGGGCTAAGGGCCGATAGCAAGACGGACAGACGCTCGCTTCTGCGTCGGGGTGATTCCTCCACAAGCCGCAGGGCTGGCCCAGAGCGAGCTTCCCACCCTTCGCTTACATGGGCGTAGCTGTGGGGGATAGGCGGGGCTGCAGGTCCGGAGTGAGGGGCACGGGCAGAGCTTGGAGGGGGGAGGGGAGCGCTGGGCTGGCAGGGGGCCGTGGGTCAGGAGTCAGTAGGGTGACCAGATCGCAAGAGTGAAACATCAGGACACACTGGGCGAGCGGGGGGGGGGGGGAGGTGCGGGAGAGCCACAGGGGCACAGCCCCGACCGGAGCCATGAGAGGGGGCGCACAGCCCTAGGAAGCTGCAAGAGGGGTGTACAGCCCCTGCGGCAGCCCGCACCACAAGCCACAGGGCCAGGACCCGAGGACTCCTGGCCCCAGCTCCAGCCCCCAGCAGAAGCCACGGGGCCAGGGCCACAGGTTTCTCCTCCCTCCCTCCCCGTGCCCTTCCCCACAACCCCATCACCCAAACTAAACACCCCCACACAGACCCCCACTCCCCAGTGCCCTGACACACAAAGATCTCCCCCACTGCCCAGCACCCCCCAACAGGCCCCCACTGCCTAGCACCCCAAAACACACAAACCTCCCCCACTGCCCAGTGCCTTCCACACCCTCACAGCCCAGCACCCCTCCCAGACACTCACTCCATCACACCCTGCCCCCTTCCCTGGCCGCACTCACCAGCCCTGCTGGGAGGTCTCTGGCTCCAAGGGTCAGAGCGCCGAGGGGGGTCCCCAGACTCTCCACGTGCTGCGCCCGCCACAAACGTGAGCTCCATGGCTCCCATTGGCCGGGAAAAGCCGCAGCGCGGGGCTTGCAGGTGGGAGCAGCTCACAGAGCCCCCTACCCCCCGCCCCCCCCCCCACGACCCTAAGAGCCAGAGGGACCTGCCGGGGGCTGAGGTGGGGAGTCCCGGCGGTGATTACCTGGGATGGCTCCCAGGAAGCATCCGGCAGGTCCCTCTGGCTCCTAGGATCGGGTCGGGTCAGGTCGGGTGGGTGGGGTGCGGGGGTGGGGGCGGAGGGGTCTCTGCCCGCTGCCGGCGCCTGCAAGCCCCACCCCCGCAGCTCTGATTGGGCAGGAGGGAGCCAGTGCAGCACGCGGAGACCCCCTCCGCCTCTGTGCCCGGGGCCGCCCGACCTGCAGGCTCCTGCAGCCGGGAGCTGCCCCAGGAAGCTCCGCCACGCCGGCCCCGGGACTTTGGCGGTGATGGTGAGCGGTCCATCCCCGATATCAGGACAATGGGCGTCCCGACTGATGTGCAGTCGGGACGCGGGACAAATGGGTTAAAATCGGGACTGTCCCGATAATATCAGGACGTCTGGTCACCCTAGGAGTGAGGGGCACCGGCAGAGCTGGGGGGAGCCCAGGGCTGGGCTAGCAGGGGGCTGCAGGTAGGGAGTGAGGGGCATTGGCGGAGCTGTGGGGAGCCCAGGGCTGGGTTGGAGGGCTGTGGGTCGGGAGTGAGGGGCACCAGGAGAGCTGTGTCTTTGGATTAGGCCGTGGCAGCCGAGGCAGGATCTGGGAGCCTGGGAAAGGGGCTCTGCAGGGTGGGGGAGGTCGGGAGCTCCTTGGAAGGCATCACTCAGCTCTGGCACCGTCCGCTTTTCCCAGGAAGTCCCGGAGCCGCCCCCTAAGCGCGGCACAAGGACGAGCCCTATGAAGGCACTCCCCGGCCTAGCTATGCAGTGCCTGCAGTCCATGGGCAGACCCCAGTCAGCCAGAGACACCGCCCCTGCCCCCGTGTTCCCCTCCTGCCCCTGGCTGTCCCCCCCTTTGGAGTGCCATTCCCCCCTCCCACCCCCACAGATGTCCCACAGTCCTGGAAAAAGCCAGGTGCAGTACTTGCTGTGTCCACCAGAGGGCACCAGCACCTCACACCAGAGCCCCAGGGGAAGGTGGGGGGACCAGAGACAGTCCCACCCTGACTGTTCAGCGGCTGCAGTGGCGGAAGGCGACCACTGGGGGGCGGTGTTTAGTGGGGACACATGGGTGCTGGGCTAACACCCAGCCAGGGGGTTCTGGGTAAAGGACCAGCCATGCTGGGGCACCGAGTCTCCCCGAGGGGCAGGGGCACCAGAAGGAAACCAAACGCCAGGGGCGGGCGGGTGGGCAGGCGGTGGGGGGAAATTCTCAAGATCCTCCAGCATCGCGTGTGGTTTTGTGCGGGGGTGGTGGTGGGGGGTTAGATGATATTTGCCGCCTGGATGAGTCCGGCTGTTACGGAGCAGCCAGGCCCAAAGGCAGCCAAGGCCAGCAAGGGCGTCCCAGCCGCTAGCCCCTTTTCCCCGGGCCATTTGCTTTTCAGCTATTGCTCCACCGCTGCAAGGGACCCACGACGCCTTTCAAGTGGACGGTTTTAAAATAAATTCCACAGATAATCTCGATGGTTCGTTTTTCGGTATTTCCCCCACCCACAGTTTATGTCTGTTTCAGTGTTCAGAGTTGCAGGAAATGATGAGGGGATCAGACAACGGGGGGGTGGGAGAGGGGAAGGGTCTGACTAATTGGAGGATTGGGCCAGAAGACATCTGATGAGGTTCAACAAGGACAAGTGCAGAGTCCTGCACTTAGGATGGAAGAATCCCATGCACCGCTATAGACTAGGGACCGAATGGCTCGGCAGCAGTTCTGCAGAAAAGGACCTGGGGGTTACAGTGGACAAGAAGCTGGCTATGAGTCAGCAGTGTGCCCTTGTTGCCAAGAAGGCTAACGGCATATTGGGCTGCATTAGTAGGAGCGTTGCCAGCAGATCGAGGGACGTGATTATTCCCCTCTATTCGGCACTGGTGAGGCCACATCTGGAGTACTGTGTCCAGTTTTGGACCTCCCACTATGGAAAGGATGTGGACAAATTGGAGAGAGTGCGGCAGAGGGCAACTAAAATGATCAGGGGGCTGGGGCACATGACTTATGAGGAGAGGCTGAGGGAACTGGGCTTGTTTAGTCTGCAGAAGAGAAGAGTGAGGGGGGATTTGATAGCAGCCTTCAGCTACCTGAAGGGGGGCTCCAAAGAGGATGGAGCTCGGCTGTTCTCCATGGTGGCAGACGACAGAACAAGGAGCAATGGTCTCAAGTTGCAGTGGGGGAGGTCTAGGTTGGATATGAGGAAACACTATTTCACGCGGAGGGTGGTAAAGCCCTGAAATGGGTTCCCTAGGGAGGTGGTGGAATCTCCTTCCTTAGAAGTTTTTAAGATCAGGCTTGACAAAGCCCTGGCTGGGATGATTGAGTTGAGGATTGGTCCTGCTTTGAGCAGGGGGTTGGACTAGATACCTCCTGAGGTCCCTTCCAACCCCAGTCTTCTATGATTCTATGATTCTATGATCTGCGCTGGGAGCTGGAGCCGGCTGGCACGCGGAACGTGGCAGGACGCAGAGTGGGACCCGCTGGGCACACGGCACCTGGCAGGACGCAGAGCAGGACCTGGCTGGCAGGCTGCATGTGGCAGGACGCAGAGCGGGACCCTGCACACGGCAGGATGCAGAGTGGGACCCAGCTGGCACACGGCACCTGGCAGGAAGCAGAGCGCGATCCGGCTGGCACATGGCACATGGCAGGGCGCAGAGCGGGACCCGGCTGGCACATGGCACGTGGCAGGGCGCAGAGCGGGACCCGGCTGGCACGTGGTACGTGGCAGGGCGCAGAGCGGGACCCGGCTGGCACGTGGCACGTGGCAGGGCACAGAGCGGGACCCGGCTGGCACGCGGCACGTGGCAGGGCGCAGAGCGGGACCCGGCTGGCACGTGGCACGTGGCAGGGCGCAGAGCGGGACCCGGCTGGCACGCGGCACGTGGCAGGGCGCAGAGCGGGACCCGGCTGGCACGCGGTACGTGGCAGGGCGCAGAGCGGGACCCGGCTGGCACGCGGCACGTGGCAGGGCGCAGAGCGGGACCCGGCTGGCACGCGGCACGTGGCACACCTCACATTCTGCTGCTCCAATGGCTGCAGCCAAGAAAGCCAGAAAAAATGACCCTGTTATGGCTGATCCGTGCACAGAACCTGCCTCCCATTCGTCCTCTGAGACACAAGCACCTTTGGGGGGGTCGTTTCCTGTTCCGAAAATATTTGACAAACGTTTCACTGCATTCAAACTCCGGGTGACTAACAGCCGGAAAATCCCAACCGCAGCAGCTGAGTGTAACTGCCTGGCCTGGCCCCCCGTGGCTGACCTTTCCCTCAACCAGAGCCGGCCACGTGGAGCCCAGCGAGCGTGCCCTCCTCCGTGGGCGTCGGCGCTGTGGTGAAGGCTGCGGGAGCGGAGAGATCTGACCTGCCACGTCTAGACGCAGACCGGTGATGGATGGAGGTTTTAACAGGCTCTGGTGGTTGTTCGGACGGCGGCGGGACATAGGGCAGGCTCCGATGTGTGAAGCAATCCTGATGTCAGCAGACGGAGACGCAGGGGAGAGATTTTCAAGGCGGGTTTCGATAACAAAGACGGGACGTAATCCACACTGACCAGGACGGGGCGTCTGGGCTCTGCTGCTGGGCCGGGTGGTGACGCCATCCCGTGGACTGCAGGGGTGTTTTCCTTGCATAAGGAATGGGGGGAAACCAGCCAAGAAGCTTCCCCTGAGATCTACCGAGATGAACAGTGTCAGGGCAGACGCCGTGCGGCTCATGTTGCTGGTCGCTGGCTTTCAGGGGCCGTCCTACGGGGGCGGTGCCGTCGGCCAGGCCCTCGTGGGGCGGACGTACACCGCCGACACGGGGACCCCAGTGTAGCCACGCACGAGCGATGTCATTCCCGCAGCGGCCGTGTGCCGACGTTGGGTCGCTTTGATTGCGTGGCGTCGACGTTTGGCCTGGTGAGAGTCATTAATCACCAGAACAATTTCCCTAGCGGCCTGGGGCCTTCTCCATCTGCGCAGGGTTTAGATCAGGATTGGCTGGGTTTTTAAGGGATTGGCGCTGGGGTTATGGGGGGCAGTTCTCCGGCCCGTCCCATGCAGGAGGGCTGGAGTGTGGCTGGCTCTGTGACAGTGGGAACAGTTCCCCCCCCCCCCCCCCCCCCATATTTAATCAAAGGGTGAGGGTGGCGCTTACCAAAGGATCCTGCAAGTGGGTGTGAGGGGGACATACTGGCCGGCAGGCTGCATGGGGCAAGACACAGAGCGGGACGCGGGGCGTGGTTGGTGAGGACACATGTCCTAGACTCCTAGACCCAGGGCAGGTGTCTGGAGTAGCCAGGGTCCATGGCCCAGGGGGTAACCAGGTCAGGTCCCAGCCGAGCCAGCCGCCGGCCCAGCACAAATCAAACCCACACTGAGCTGTCCCCGGCTCCCACCGGCCCTGGAAGAACCTGCCAGTGTCGCGCCCATGTGCTGAGCTGTGTCTCCCCAGCGGGTCCGCCCCGCAGGGCCCCTTAGATCAGCCGCGGCGACGTCCTGCAGCGCCTGGACAGATGGTGGCACTCGTGCCCTCTGGTGAGAGCCCTGGGCAGAGAACAGGAGATGCCTGCAAGGCCAGAGCCCCCAGCCACGTCAGGGGAGACGTGTGCAGGCTGCAGGGGAAGGCTGGCACAGGGGCACTGTGCTGGGGAAATAGTTGGGGGTGTCGTTATGAGGCTGTTCCCCAGCTGCCCCACCCCAGAGCTGGTCGCATCCCAGCATAATAACATAAGAACGGCCACACTGGGTCAGACCAAAGGTCCATCCAGCCCAGTGTCCTGTCTACCGACAGTGGCCAGTGCCAGGTGCCCCAGAGGGAGTGAACTTAACAGGTAATGATCAAGGGATCTCTCTCCTGCCATCCATCTCCACCCTCTGACAAACAGAGGCTAGGGACACCATTCCTTACCCATCCTGGCTAATCGCCATTATTGCACTTAGCCTCCATGAATTTATCCAGTTCTCTTTTAAACCCTCTTATAGTCCTAGCCTTCACAACCTCCTCAGGCAAGGAGTTCCACAGGTTGACTGTGTGCTGTGTTAAGAACTTCCTTTTATTTGTTTTAAACCCGCTGCCCAGGCGAGCCATCCCTGTGCGGCGTTGCTGTGCAGCTGTTCCCCTGCCGTCCCACCCCAGAGCTGGGCGCATCCCAGCGCCAGGCGAGCCTTCCCCGGGTGACTGCTCCCCCGTTGCGCCGCCCCAGAGGTGGCCGAGTCTCGGCGCTGAGATCGTTAAAGAAGGAAAGCATTAGGGAAATTGGAAATGTACTGTCTGACTGCCCACTTTGCCTATGCAAACGACGACTCTGAGTCCTAGTGGGGGCAGGGTACGGCGGGGTTCGGTTGGGTCCAGACCAGCTGCCACTCACTCAACTGCGTGTTTATGTTGTGTAGTTAATCCTCCAGGGAGACCAGGAAAAAGGGGAAGCGCAGAGCCGGGCAGAGATGAAAGGTTAGATCCATGGTCGGGGCAGAGGTTTATTGGGGAAGTCGTTGAACATAATAGAAAGGGTATTAAAAGGGCAAACAGAGAGAAAGGCCTGCAGCAGGCAGGGATGGGGAATTATAATAACAATAGCCAGGGAGAAATCCCGACCCACAGCCCCCTGCTGCCCCAGCCCTGGGGTCCCCCCCGAACCCAGATCTGCCGATACTCCTCACCCCCGACCCACAGCCCCCTGCTGCCCCAGCCCTGGGGTCCCCCCCAGCCCGGCTCTGCTGGTGCCCCTCAATCCTGACCCACAGCCCCTGCTATCCGCCCCCCCCCGGGACTCCTCCTCCCATGCTAGCTCTGCCAGTGGCCCTCAGTGCCGACCCACAGACCCCCGCCATCCCAGCTCTGGAATACTGGGCGCTGTTTTGTGGCCCAAGAAGGGGATCTTGGAGCCAGGATTCCTGGGTTCTCTCCCCAGTTTTGGAAGGAGAGTGGGGTCTAGTGGTTGGGAGGGAAGAGCCAGGACTCCTGGGTTCTATCCCCAGCTCTGGGAGGGGGGGCTAGTGGTTAAAGCAGTGGGCTGGGCGCCAGGACTCCTGGGTTCTGCTCTCAGCGGCTCCCCACTGCCAGGTCATTGTCCAATTTTAGCCTTCAGCAGCCTGAGCGCTGTGGCTCCTGCCTCCTCCCTGGGGGGACGATCCCTCCTTTCCCAGCCCCCCGGGAGTTAGAGGGCGGCCGGGATCCAGCCACCTCTGTGTCCCCCAGCTGTACTGCAAGAGGGTTCAGCCCCCCCAGGGCGAGCTCCCAATCCACCCCCCCCACCCAAACCCCGGTGCATCTCCCCCGCCCCCGTCCAGTCCCCCCAGTTCGTGCCCACTTTAGCCCCGCCCCACCCCGCCCCGCAGCTCCCGGCCCCGCCCTCGGGCGGTGCCAGCTGGTGCGGGAGGGGTGCGGGGGCTGCAGCCGGTGGAGCGGAGCAGACGGGACGGGATTCAGGAGGCAGCGATCCAGCCGAGGGACCCAGGAGTCCGGCCACCTTCCAGCGTGGTAGGTGCCTGGCTGGGGCTGGGGATTGGGAAGGGGGGGGCGTGTCCCCCTGGCCTTAAATCTCTGCGTGCCTCTGAGAGCCATTCCCCATGGCCCCCACCCCCTGCACCCGCATAGCCCCCCTGGCCTCCCATCCACTCCATATTCCCCACTCCCATGGCTCCAGCCCCCATATATCCCCTCCCCCTCCATCCCCATAGCCCCCATCCTCCCATACACTCTTCCCTTCATCTGTCCCTCCCCCCATGCACCCCAGATCCATCCATCCCCCACGGATCCCCCCATCCCACCGTCTCTCCATCCTTTTGTGCACCCCATCCATCGATCCCTCAAATCCTCCCCCATGTACCTCAACCCCTTCTCCCTTTATCCATCCTCCCATATGCCCCCCCATGGCCCGCAATGCACCCCTATCCATCCAGTTCCCTGGCCCCACCCCCCAATTAATCTATCCTTTGTAGAATGTGTGTGTGTGTGAGATCCCCCCAATCCCCCTCCATCCCGCCTCCCATAGCCCCACAGTCCCCCAACCAGCCCCCATGTACCCCCATAGCCCTAACCCTTCCTCTATCCATCCCACCCTCCCCCATTGTCCATAGCTCCCATCCCTCCCTTGGTCTATTCCCCTAGCCACTCCTCTGTCCATCCCCCCCATATCCATTCATCCCCTATAGTCCCCCTATCCCCCCCAACCAACCGCTTCATCTATTCCCCCCTGGTACCCCCGTCTACCTCTCTGCTTCCTCTTACACCCTCCATCCTCCCCCCCCCCCCCCGAGCCCCATCCAGCCTTGCACTGCCCTCGGTCCCCATGCAACCCTCCACCTCCATCCCCCTCCCCTGCACTCGGCTAAGTCTCTATCCCCCATCCCACCGTCCCTCTACACCCCTCCATCTCCCCATCCCTTCTTCCTCCCCACCTCTCTATCCCTCCCTCCCTATAATCTATCTGTCTATCCCCATCCACCCCCTCTATCTATCTATCCATCCCCATACACTGCATCTATCTCCATAGACCCTCTCTGTCTATCCATCCATCCCCAGACACCCCCTCTATCTACGCAACGGCTGAGATCTGACTTGACCCAGCACCCCGGTGAGTTCAGTTGGTACTCTGTCCCAGCCTGGGGCCTGTGAGCAAACAGCACAGGGCAGAGAGAGGCGTATAGAAAAGGATAGAGGAACACAACGAAAGATGGACAGATAGGTGTCCATGGATGGATAGACAGGCAGATGTTCCAGTCTTATACCAGCTCCATGGTTCTCTGTGTAAAGCAACTCATTGTCCAGACGGCGGTTCCCAGAAAAGAACCCAGGAGTCCTGGCTCCCAGCCCCCCTCCCCTCCCCCCCGGCTCTAACCCACTAGACCCCACTCTCCTCCCAGAACTGGGGATCCAACCCAGGAAGGTGGATGTTTTGAATCAATCTTTCTTTAGGTCTCCTGGTTTCCATTCCCAGCTGTGTATTGGGAGTGTGGTATCAAGGGGAAAGGCCCCATATCCCATGCCCTGTCCCCAGAGCCAGCCGGTGCCCCACTCTGGGGCCAGATGGGATCCGATGCCCCCTAGAGGTGGAAGGTGGCCTGTCCCCTGCCCCAGCTCGCCAGGGCTGGAACAGTCTCTGTTTACCTACCGCAGAAAACTTTCTGGCTTCCCAGCAACGCTGGGCTGCACCTGTTTGCTGCTGTCCATGCCAGCGACCCCGGGGCCCCGTGCTGAGGAACCGTTAATGGGATCGATTTTTTCCCTCTGTGTCACACAAACACCTCCCTGTAGGCAAGAGATGCATGTCAGTATGGCCCTGGACTGGGGAGCGCAGCGGGGTCCAATGGTTAGAGCAGGGGGCTGGGAGCCAGGACTCCTGGGTTCTAACCCTGGGTCTGGGAGGGGAGCGGGGTCTAGTGATTAGAGCAGGGGGTTTCAGGCAATCCTTATAGCTCTGGGGGATTTGAGATTCCCCCCCGCCCGCGTGAGCCGGGATGACAGAAGCCGGAAGCAAGAGTGGACGAAGTCACGAGTCCTGCTCCGGTGCGTGCCAACGAGCCTGCCTGCGACCCCATCTCCTGGCGTCCCATGGGGACCTGGCTCCACCGGGGAGACAGGTTTGCTCTAGTGATGAGCTGGCTGCGCTCCCGGCCCCGGGACAAGCATCCCTCATGGCCGAGGGCTCCAGATGCCAAAGGACCTGTCGGCCGCCCTCCTGGAGAACGACCCTGAAACAGATCAGGGCATGCTGTGCTCTCACGTTTGTGATCGTGGGACCCCTGAGATTGCAGCTGGGGGGGGGGGGGGATCCCTGCTGCCCCCTGCTGGAGGAGTTGAGCCCTGCTCTGGGTCTTTGTGTGCATGCACCGATCCTTTGGTGTGACCATGATATGTGTGTGCATGCCTGCCTTTCAGAGAAGCCAACACACCCAACTTCACACCCCTGCCAGGAGTTTGCTTCACTAAGGACTGACTCTGGCTGCGTGTCTGGGCAGTGCCTGGCATAGCGGGGCCCTGATCTCCCCCGGGGCCAGGGACTGTCTCTCATAGCAGGGCCTGGATCCTTAACCCTGCTAGCACCCAGTGGTGGGGAGTTCCATGGGTTAATGATGTGCTGTGTGGCAAATCTGTTTCTTTCATTCAGCCTTTAGCATGTTGTGTAAACACCGGCTGCTTTTCTGCTGCAGACTCCAGCTCTCCAAAGCTCTTCGGGAAGGATGTTTATTGTAATTTTCTTATTTTTCTGCACGTTGGCCCCTAGCAGCATCAGATCCATTCCTGGAAATTGGAAAGTGCTGTTTGGCTTTCGCGTCACACAACCAGCAGACTGGCTGCCCCTGCACCATTAGCCCTGACGCCGGGCAGAGTCACTGGGTGACTGGGGAGGGACAAAGGGCTGAGAGATCAAACACCCCTGGATTTTAGAGATGCCTGAATACAATGAAGATCCAGCACAAACCCACAGAGAGAAATGCGGAGCCAGGACACCAGGGTTCTGTCCCCAGCTCTGGGAGTGCAGGGGAGTCTAAAGGTTGGGACTGGCAGAGAGAACTCCGGCTCCCAGTTGTACTGGTGGCTTTATTTGAACATTGGGCAACTACTGCTGTGTCCAATACAACAAAAGAGCTGGGAATGGAACCCAGGAGTCCTGACTCCCAGTACCCCCTGTTCTAACCACTAGACCCCACACCTGGGGATAGAACCCAGGAGTCCTGGCTCCCAGTACCCCCTGTTCTAACCACTAGACCCCACTCCCCTCCCAGAGCTGGGCACAGAACCTAGGTATCAATGTTGATCCAATTGAGCAGTACCCGTGTGGCGTTGCTGTGTGACTGTTCCCTGGCTGCAACACCCCAGAGGCGGGCGCATCTCAGTGCCTTGTCACCAAATCTGATCAGCTGCTGCCTCATTAGTACCCGAAAGCTTTCCCCCATCACCGCAGGGCAGGCTGGGGCAGAACAGATCTGGGCTTGGTGGTTTGTGGGGGGCTGTAACCCCCATTTTCCAGGGTCCCCTCAGCAGGTAGGGGGCATTGGACCAGGCCCAGATGTGGGGAGGGAAGGGCAGGGCGGGTACATTTAGGCTCTGAGGTACTGAGCTGAGCAGAGGGTCTGGCTGGTGTGACTGCAGCCCAGAGCCCAGGCACGAGCTGGCATTTCTACCTGGTAGATTAGAGCTAGTGAGGCCTAGTGGTTAGAGCAGGGCTGGGGGCTGGGAGCCAGGACTCCTGGCTTCTCTCCCTGGCTCTGGGAGCGGAGTGGGGGTCTAGGGGAGCTCTGCTTCAGGAAGGGGGGCTGGGAGCTCTGCTTCAGGAAGGTGGGGAGTGAAGTTCCCCTGCATGGTGTATACCAGACGCCAGCGGCTGGGAAGCCCTGCCCCACTGACCAGCAGCTCCCCCAGGCTGTCAGAGCCCCTGGTGCTTCATCCCTCACCCACTCGAGGGAAGGGAAATTCGGTTTCCTACTTAGATTCCCCTGATCAGCATGATGAGAAAAGCCCTCCCACGCTGGCAGCTCATCTCCCTTCATTAGATCCACCCATCAGCCTGTCCAGCTGCTGTTTTGCTAGCCAGCTCCGCATGCACCCCAGCTCTGCCGGTGTCCCTCAATCCCAACCCACAGCCCCCTGGCAACCCAGCCCTGGGCTCCCCACATACCCTTGGCCGTGCCCAGATCCCCTGGCACGCTGCCACTCACTGGCCTGCCGGGACTGGGCATGTGCCTCCCATCCTGAGCCGAGCATCGTGTCACCTTCCTAATGGCTAGACAAGGCACGACGACTCAGAGATTGCACACTGGGTGTAGACATGCCCTAAGTCATCCTCTAAGCAGGCGCCAGCCATTAGCAGCTGGGCTGGGGCCGCCAGTTCCTGGAACTACAGTGCAACCTCCTCTAGGGCTGGAAGATGTAAGGGGATACTAGCCTACTATATCTGCCAGGTAACGGAGTGACTCTCTTAGCTCACATGGGCTGTGCTGTTGATCTAGAGGCCCAGTTGCTAAAACAGGAGCTTTGTTCAACCTTAATGGTGCAGTTACGAGCTGATCTTGGTACTTGGCCTGCCCCCCTTTTATAGACTGGGGGAAACTGAGGCACAAAGTGACTTGCTCAAGGTTACACAGGGCGTATAGGGCAGAGCTGGGAACAGAACCCAGGAGTCCTGAGTCCACCTGCCCACCCCCCAACACTTTAAGCAACCACTAGACCTTACTCCCCTCCCAGAACCGGGATAGAACCCAGGAGTCCTGGCTCCCAAGGGCCAGGTTAGCCTATTTATTCTCCTAGCTAGAGAGGTGCCTGCAGGGGCCCGTGTCCTCTCTCCCAGCCCTTCGGAAGGGAGTCGGGGGGCTTTCCATTGGGCAGCGCTCCGTTCAGCTGTCGCGTGGTCTCCTAGCGGAGGAAGGGCCGTGGGAAAGTGTGGGGTTGTCAGCCCACGGTTTGCAGGCAGGGTTGGGGGGATCTTGCACTGCGGTGGTTCCCACGTTCTCACCCCGACTGTCTGACAGATAAGGGAGAGGAGAGATGGCCAAGGCGATCAGGGGCACGCAAATGCGCTGGCTTCAGAGAACACAGATAAGCAATGTACACACATTACCTGGGCTGCCCTGCCTCACAGTGCCCCCTAGCGCCACTCTGGGGGACCGGGGCCAGCCCGGACTGCCAGAGGAGAGTGCCTGGCCCTGCTCCCCAGGGAGCCCCCACCCCACCCTGCAGCATAGCGCCCCCTTGCCCCACGTTGGGGCCAGCCCTGACTGCGTGGGGAGAGCTAGTGTAGTTAATCTAGCGGGAGAGCGACCATGGGATGGGAATTGAGCCTCCAGGCCAGTCACGGGAACTGCAGCTGTGGGAGAGACTCAGGCCCTCTCCCAGGAAGATGTGCCAAGCCCCTGAATTGAGTTAGGCCGTGACTATGCGGGGGAAGAGACACCTTGTAACTGGCCCACTGTCCGTCTCTTGGGAGATAATTTGTTCCCTTAACCTGCAATGAGACACTCAAGAGCTCATGATGTATCAATGCAGACAGCAGCCTGCAGGGGCTGTCCCCAGCTCTAACCTGTATTCTCTCACCATGAGGGACAGAACCCAGGAGTCCTGGCTCCCAGCCCCTTCCCTGCTCTTACCTACTTGACGCCACTCCCCTTCCAGAGCTGGGAATAGAACCCAGGAGTCCTGGCTTCCAGCCTCCCCTGCTCTAACCACTAGACCCCCCTCCCCTCCCAGAGCTGGGAACAGAACCCAGGAGTCCTGGCTCCCAGCCCCCTCCCCCCTGCTCTAACGTACCAGACCCTGCTCTCGGAGACAGAACCCAGGAATTAGCGCTGATCCAGTTCCCCAGCGCCAGGCGAGCCGTCCCTGTGCGGCGTTGCCAGGTGGCTGTTCCCCAGCTTGCCCCCCGCACCACATGTGGCCGTGTCTCAGGGCCGGGTGAGACGTGCCCTGGTCCGGTTGTTGTCCTAAGTCTGGGTGTTGCTTAGACAGTGACGGAGGATTCGCTCAGCGGCTGTAGACACTAAACAGTATCTAGGGCAGCGTGGGGCGGATGTGTGCGGTTGAATGGCAGAGCCATGTCATCATCGAGATCTGGGGTGCTGATAAACGCCGGGCTCCTTGCAGCTGACCTAGTGACGCTTCACATCCTGGGGCACTGGGTACAGTCTCCGCCCCCCCACTCCCTCCTTGGGGCTACATTGGCAGGGGGTCAGGGGAGCTACTTGGGGTGTCCTGGTTGTGTGTGTCTACCGGTCCCTGCTCTCTAGGGGGTGTGTGTTGTGTGCTGCCCCCTGCTGGAGGGGCTGGGCCCTGCTCTGTGTGTGTGTGTGTGTCCGTCCCCCTGCTGCCCCCTGCTGGAGGGGATGAGTCCTGCTCTGTGTATTAGCCCTGCCACCTGCTGGATATGCTGCTTGTGTGTACACACACATATGCATCCCTGGCAATGCACGACCCTTTCTGTGCGTTCCCGGTGAGGAGGGGCTGCCTGGGTGACGCCGCCTGTCTGGAGCGGAGGCCATGGAAGTGCGTGGGGGGGGGTGCATGCCGACGGGGGGAGGGGGAATGAGCTCCCCCCCATGGCCAAGAGAGAGCGATGGGGCTGGGCAGAGCAGGGGCAGACACATCTTGGCTAGGGTGGTTGGGTTCCCCCAGGGTGTTCGGGATCTTGGCGTGGCCCCCGCTCCTGCAGGTTGTCATGCCCCAGCTGTGCTCCGGTGGGGTGGGGAGGGAAGGAGCGAGGGGTGCGAGTGACTGCCAAGCCTGGGCCACTAAGGCCTGAATTAAAGCAGGTTTGGTAGCCAAGCAAAATACTCCGCTGGCTACTCAGATCTCAGCCCCTGAGCCAGCCAGTCCCCGTCCTGGGGCTGGATAGGAGCCAGTGCCTCCTGGAGGGGATAGGCCCCATGTCCCATTCCCTGCCTCTCCCGCCCCCGAGCCAGCCCGTCTCCCACAGGCTAGATGGGAGCCGGCGCCCCCTAGTTGGAAAAGGCCCCATGTCCCGTTCCCTGCCCCCACTGAGCCGGCGCCCCCGAGAGGGGAAAGGCCCCACGTCCCACGCTGACCCGGCCCCCCCTCTCTCCCCAGGTGCGATGCCCCCAGCATGGCCCCGCAGCCCGAGGAGCGCGCCCTGTACCTCTCCATCTACCTGCTGACCATCCTGACCGGCTTCCCCACCAACCTGCTGGCCCTGCACGCCCTCATCCGCAAGCTGCGGCGCAAGGCCACCCCCAACTGCATCCTCCTGCTCAACCTCACCCTCTCCGACCTCTGCTTCCTGGCCTTCCTGCCCTTCAAGGTGGCCGAGGCCGGGGCCGGGCGCTGGCCGCTGCCCGCCTTCCTCTGCCCCCTCAGCGGCCTCTTCTACTTCAGCACCATCTACTCCAGCACCCTCTTCCTGACGGCCGTCAGCGTGGAGCGCTACCTGGCCGCGGCCTACCCCATCCGCTACAAGCTGCGGCGCCGACCCGCCTATGCCATCCTGGCCAGCCTGGGCCTGTGGATGTGTTCCTTGGCCCACTGCAGCATCGTCTACGTGACCGAGCTGCAGCCAGGCAGCGGGCCGGCCAACGGCACCAGCGCCTTCGCCTCCTCCAGGGACCTCTGCTACGATGACTTCACCCCCAGCCAGCTGCGGGTGCTGCTCCCCATGCGCCTGGAGCTGGGCATCGTCCTCTTCCTGGTGCCCTCCTTGCTCACCTCCTTCTGCTACTGCGGCTTCATGTGGGTGGTGGTCTCCTCGCCCCACATCCGCCGGGGGAAGAAGCAGCGGGCCGTGGGCTTGGTGGCCGCCACCCTCGCTGTCTTCATCGTCTGCTTCACACCCTACAACGTCTCCCACGTGGTGGGCTTCGTCCAGCGGGCCAGCCCGGCCTGGAGGGACAAGGCCCTGCTCCTGAGCACCTTCAACGCCAGCCTGGATCCCGTCATCTTCTACTTCTCCTCCTCCGCTGTCCAGCACTCCTGCCGCAGGTTCCTGGCCCGGCTCTGGGGCGTCTGCTCCCTGCCCCCCTTGGCCAGGAAGGTCTTCTACCGACGAACGGAGAAGCTGACGCCGGGGCAGCCCCAGGAGCAATGCAGAGGCCTTGGGCGCAGCCAGATTTGCTGCTCCAAGCTGTGATCCCAGCAGTCACCCACCCCCAGCACGCACAGACTGACTTGACTGTGGGGCAGTCCAGTGGGTTAGGAAGGCAGGACTCCTGGGTTCTATCCCTGGTGCTGGGGTCCAGTGGGTTGGAGCATGGGGCTGGGAGTCAGGACTCCTGGGTCCTCTTCCCAGATCCACATCTTCCCAGAGCCGCCCTCCCCACCCCCCGCTGCCCGGGATCCTCTCTCTGGGGCCAGGACCAAGCTGGAAAGCACCAACCTCATGACATGATCAGGTCAGGACTGGAACCCACCGCTGAGCATGTCTAGGCCCCATACCCCCTTCCCTTCTGCATCAAAGGCCTCTGCCGTTCACTGTGTAGAAGGAATCCCTGACCTGCGAGGCCGAGCAGACAGAGCCCAGGTCTGTTGGCCTGCTGCGTGACTTCCCCACTCCGTGCCTCAGTTTCCCTCGCTGTACAGTGGGCATAATGACGCTGACCTGTAAAGCGCTGTGGGATTTAGGGACGAAGAGCCGGCTACTGGGACATCATCATCCTGGGACAAACCAGGTGCCTTCCTGTTGCAATTATTAGCAACACGGCCCTCCTCTCACAGATCCTCGGCTGGGACTCAAACCCTCCACCTTGGTACCAAAACACACACCTTTGCCTCCTGCCACAAAGCAGCGCTGCGGTGGGCGGGCGGCAGTTGTAGGCTGTTTTCTGGGCCGGCAAGATGGGGCCCACTCGCAGTGCACCTCCACAGCAAGAGGGGGCGACAGAGAGCACTAGCTCTCACGGATCGCAATGGTGGGAGGCGTCCTGCTGGCGGTGCGTGGCATGGGTTTGTGCAGCGTGAGACTGCAACACCTCCCTCTGGTGGAGTCGCTGGGTACTGCAACACCTCAGGCACCTCGACCCCCCCGCCCCCCGGTGGACTCTCATGGAAATGCATCCTGCTGGTGGCCTCATCTCAAACTTTGATCATCCATTCGGCTGCTACCCCCCGGATTTGTCCCCATCTGTGCCTGTGGGTGGGTGTTCAGCCAAAGCCACCTCATTAGGCTCTGTAATCATGGCAAGGAGAAGCTAATTAAAGCAGCCGACGCAGGGCATTGAAGCGAGAGGCTTGGAATCAATCGGGCCACTGGTTTCTATCCCGGAGAATGTGACATGGTCTCGTTATCAAGGAGATAATGGAGTGTGTGAATGTAACCTACAAATGGGACTGGTTAGCATGAGGAGGGCCTGGGAATCAGGACTCCTGGGTTCTATCCCAGCTCTGGGACGGGTGCAGAGTCTAGTGGTTAGAAGGGGGGCTGGAAGTCAGGACACCTGGGTTCTCCTCCAAGCCCTCCCTCTGGTCGCCTGTATCTTAGCCCGTATCTATGCCTCATTTGTCTGCCACTTGTACAACGTATAGAATTATATTTATCCAGCCCCCGAACAATAACAACATTTAATTAGCTAATGTTTGCAAAGCACTCTATGTACCTGGCTGGGAGACGGGAATAAACCCTCCACCCTGAGTGCGAAAGGGCTTTGAAACAAGCACCGATTGGCAGCTCTGCAATATATGGGAAGTCTTGTTAGTATACAGAGGGGAAACTGAGGCACAGAGCATGAACAGGACTTGCCCACATTGACACAGGAATAGAACCCAGGAGTCCTGGCTCCCATTCCCCTCTCCACTAATCACTAGAACACACCATTTCCATGCACTACAATCTGTAAAATGGACTCGACTCCTTGAAGCAGAAAGATGCTATAGCTTGAGGGCCAGACCCCCAGCTGGGGTCAATGGGCCTGTTACGAATTCACAGGTCATGCCCACTCTTGGCCCCGTACAGTCCCTGGGGGGAACCCCCTTCAGTGCGACAGCCCTTCTTGGGGCTTTGCTCTCTCTCGGGGGTTAAGCCCCTCCGTCTCCTGGAACTGCACCTCTCTGAGCCTTAGCACGCCTGTCCCTCGCCGTGGGCCCACTCAGGGAGTCCACTTGCTCTGAACCCCTGGGGCCTCCACTCCCAGAGGGAATAATGCCCCCCTGTTCTCTAGACCGGAGCAACTCTCAGCCAGCGTAACACAGGAGGGTTTATTGAGCCTCTGAACCCAGCACAGGAAACTCTCAGGGCCTCAGGCCTGGCCTCCCTCAGCACAGCAGGAGTGCTCTGCCTGCTCTCTCCCTCCAGTCCCAAGACCCTGCACTTTATCTTCTGTCCAGGTAAACAGGTCGCTGGGGCCATCTCTCTTCCATCCTTTGTTCCCCTCTGGCTGGAACCAGCTGGTCAGGTCACTGGGGTCCTCTCTCCTCAGCCCTTTGTCCTCCCACTGGCCAGAACTGGCTGATGGCCAAGCTAGGGTTGGCCTCTTAGTCACCAGGTCATCAGTTGTTAGGGTTCCCCATCTCCAGGCCGTTTTCTGGGGGACCTGGCTGCTAGGCGAGGTCACACCTGGTCCTCTGCAACAACAAACCCTCTCCCACCACCTTGTTAAACATGCAGCACACAGGGAAACTGAGGCGCGCATACGCTATTCATGTAAAACACGACAAAAATCCCCAACTTCGTCACAGGGCCATAGCTCCATTGAAGTCAATGGGGTCAGATCCCAGCTGGGGTCAATCGGCCGGAGCTCCATTGAAGTTAATGGGACCAGATCCCAGCTGGGCTCAATGAGCCGGAGTGCCATTGGGGTCAATGGGGCTAGATCCCAGCTGGGGTCAATGGGCCATAGCTCCATTGAAGTCAATGGGGTCAGATCCCAGCTGGGGTTAATGGGCCATAGCTCCATTGAAGTCAATGGGGTCAGATCCCAGCTAAGGTCAATGGGCCGGAGCTCCATTGGAGTCAATGGGGCCAGATCCCAGCTGGGGTCAATGGGCCATAGCTCCATTGAGGTCAATGGGGTCAGATCCCAGCTGGGGTCAATGGGCCATAGCTCCATTGAAGTCAATGGGGCCAGATCCCAGCTGGGGTCAATCGGCCGGAGCCCCATTGAAGTCAATGGGACCAGATCCCAGCTGGGGTCAATGGGCCAGAGCTCCATTGAAGTCAATGGGGTCAGATCCCAGCTGGGGTCAATGGGCCGGGAGCTCCATTGAAGTCAATGGGGTCAGATCCCAGCTGGGGTCAATGGGCCGGAGCTCCATTGAAGTCAATGGGGCCAGGTCCCAGCTGGGGTCAATCGGCTGGAGCACCACTGGGGTCAATGGGGCCAGATCTCTGGTGCCAATCAGCAACACCTACACTGCTTTGTCACCAGCTGCGTATCTGGCCAAGTATTTGAATTTATGTCTCCTTCCAGCTGAGAAGAAGTGGCACAACCTCTGATTTCCATGCTAAGGGCTGTTTGTCGATTAATTTATCAGGAGAACCAGGCAACCTCGAGGGTTTAGATAAGAGCGCAGCACTGAAACCCGACAGCCGGGATGGCACAAGGGAATCAGGGCTGTGTTCAGCTTATTTCATCTGATAAGGGCTTTATTAACAGCCGCAGCTATCTCCACTGGTGCAGAATGGGGCGGAACATTGCCAGTTTAGCAATCAGTATAAGCCCCACAGCGCTCCGCTGGGTGAGCCTCTGTAGGAAGGCTGCAGTAGTAGGCTGTTATCCCATTATGAAGGACTGCAGGAGTAGTAGGCTATTATCCCCTCATATGTTTAACAGCCAACACAACAGAGAGATGGTGTGCCTGGTGCTGAGATGTAGCCTCCTCTGGGGCGGGGCAGCTGGGGAACAGCCGCACATAATGCTGCAGGGGGTTGTGAGATGGCATTTGGCCAGGACGCCAGGGTTCATGTCCTGATTCCTGCAGATCGTGCCAGGGAAGCAGTGTGCAGTGGGGTTCCCGGGGCTGTCAGGTGGTGGGATGCTAAGCAGCACACAGGCAAGGGACAGCTGGCTGGCTGCAGTGCGGAAGGAGGAGCCCTGGTTGCCCTGAGAATGTGAAGCCTGCCAGGAATGTGCCAGGAATGTGCCATGTGCAGTGAGGACACTGATCAGAGATGGGCGCTGCGCAGCCTGGGCACATGGGCACATGGCATGCCAGAGCCGGGGCAGTGGGCGGGAGGGTGGGAGGAACTGGACCTCTGGGGGGCACCCTCATCCACTCTGCCTGAGTCATCACTCCTCCCCAACCCCGCCTGCCACCCCCCAGTCGTTCACCCTCATCCTCTCACCCTGGGCTCCCTGTGAGTCACAGGGAGGCTGGAAGCCAGGACTCCTGGGTTCTATCTCAGGCTCCAGGAGAGGTTTGAGGGTCTTGTGGTTAGAGTGGGAGCGGAGGGGCTGGTAGCCAGGACTCCTGGGTTCTCTCTCACCTCTGGAAGGGAAGTGGGGTCTAGTGGTTAGGGCAAGGGGAGGGCTAGGAGCCCGGACTCCTGGGTTCTCTCTCAGCTCTGGGTGGGGAGTGGGGTCTGGTGGTTAGAGAGGGGGAGGGGAGCCAGGACTCCTGGGTTCTCTCCCCATCTGCATGACCCAGGCCAAGTCCTTTCCCCCTCTCCGAGTCTCAGTTCCTTCTATTGCCTGAGCCCCCGGAATCCAAGCAGCCGGTGCAGCTCCTGGCGATGGGGAGCCCATGGAAGGGCACCCTCTGGTGGTGAGTCCCAGCACTGAACGGACCGGTTCCTTCTGTGACAGGGCCTCACTCCCCCGGAGCGGGCGGCGTCGCCCTAGGCCAGACCTCCGACAGGCTAGAAGGAAGGACCACGAAGAAAGGGGGCATGAGCACGGCTAGGAGTCCAGCAGGTCTGCAGCCAACCCTCCCATCTCTGTGTCTGGCCCCTGGCATCTAACCCCCCAGGGAGGGGCTCCTGCCTCAGTCGCCCCAGACACCCACCGCAGGGAGCCTTGCTTTGGGTGTGTGTGAGAGACAGTGATGGAGCCCCCTAGAGGGGAAAGGCCCGGTGTCCCAGTCCCCCGCCCTAGGGCTGGATCAGAACCAGGGCCCCTTAGAGGGGAAAGGCCCATGTCCCAGTCCCCCGCCCTAGGGCTGGATCAGAACCAGCACCCCCTAGAGGGGAAAGGCCCCTGTCCCAGTCCCCCACCCTAGGGGCCGGATCAGAACCAGCACCCCCTAGAGGGGAAAGGCCCGTGTCCCAGTCCCCCACTCTAGGGCCAGATCAGAACCAGCGCCCCCTAGAGGGGAAAGACCCCATGTCCCAGTCCCCTGCCCTAGGGCTGGATCAGAGCCAATGCCCCCTAGAGGGGAAAGGCCCCATGTCCCAGTTCCTGCCCAGCTAGGGTCTCCCTTCCCATCCCTGCCTTTGGGGTCTGATGCCCTTTGGCATTTACCCTGCAGATTTTGAAGGGGCTCAGGGGGACACTGGGGCAGGAGTCTCTTACCAGCCAGCCCCACGCCCAGGCTGAGTGCTCCCAGCAGGGCTATTTTCAGGAGGTTGAGGCCAGCGATCAGGGAGGGGGGCTCCTGGTGCTGCGGGTCTGGAAGGGGAAAGCCCCAGAGTTAAGGATGCAGGGGAAATCTGGATCCCCAGGAGGCTCCCAGTGTCCCTGCAGGTCTCTCCCCAGGCAGATGAGCTGTACCGAGGACATGGGGCTGATGTCCAGCACCTTCCCCTCTCCTGTTGGTACCCACCAGCCCTGCAGCCCCTCCTGAGGCAAACGCCCTGGCCTGTCACTGTGTGAGACACTCTGCATCTAGCCAGAAGCCTCAAATCCTCCCAAACCCTTTCCCCATCACCACGTCATTCCCTTGCCCTGCGGGACTCCCCACCACTGGATGTGAGTGGGGCCAGCCTGTGGGACTCCCTGCCACTGGATGCAAGTGGTGCCAGCCTGCAGGACTCCCCACCACTGGAAGTGAGCAGGGCCAGCCTGTGGGACTCCCTGCCACTGGATGTGAGCAGGACCAGCCTATGGGACTCCCCGCCACTGGATGTAACTGGGACCAGCCCACGAGACTCCCCGCCACTGGAAGTGAGTAGGGCCAACCCACAGGACTCCCTGCTACATGACAGGATTTGGTCTCCCCCTACTCACCATAGGTGTAGTCAGTGCTGAGGGGAACCAGCAGGGATGGGTGCCCCACCTGACAGGTATAGGTGGCTCTTGGTCCTGAAGAGGGTAAGTCCAGGGTGGTGGAAGCCTGGAGGGGTCCGGTCGGGTCCCCACACTCCTGCAGTGGCTGGGTTGGGAGCAGATGGACGCTCCCTCGGTACCAGGTGAGCCGGGCAGGTGGGGGGTAGAAACCAGCGGTTCTGCAAACCAGGGTCCATTTTGACTCCGGCTTCGGGTGAAACTGGAGGAAAATAACTGGGTGGGAGGGTCGGGCTGGGGTGAAATGGGACAGACAAATGCCGGGTACGGGGGGAGACAGACCGACAGAGAGGGGAAAAATAATCAGACTGACACATCTTGGGAAAGGGTCATAAAGACACTGCCAGAGTGGAACGGGACATGGGGCTTTTCCCTTGTAGAGGGTGCTAGCTTCGACCCAGCCCCAGGGCAGGGAACTGGCTGGCTCTAATCTCACATGCACGGAGCAGCTCTCATCCCCTCCAGCAGGGGGCAACAC